CTTAAGTTGAAAATGTATCATAGGATGCCACACAGTTCATCTGCACAACATCTCAGAAGCCTCGAGCTAATGCCATCTGGACCTGCAGCCTTTCGCATCTTGAACTTCCACAGCTCATTCCTCACTTTTCATTCCTTATATTTAAAGTCAATATTCACTATCAAAAGATTAAGAAAAAAAATGATTTGCTGAAGATTAGTTTCTTTTTAAGGTTTAACATCTGTTTAGTGCTTATTGAGAGAATGTCTATGGACATCCTGTATTTATGTGGCAACTGGCAGGTCAGCTAGACAAACACAGGGCTGGCTTTGCCGACAGGTGACAGATGCCTGGACACCATCTACTGAACAGGGTGCAGAATTTCCCAATGAAAAAAAGATAATTAAATGTATGCGTGTATGTATGATGGGCCATCGATGCCTTTGCTGCTAGGAAGTCCAGACGAGTTCAACTTGCAGGCCATTTTGAGAAGTTGCTTTGAGTTTTGGTTTTCATCATGTATTTGAACACTAGGCTATTTTGAAGTTCTCCCACTTGCAAATTATGGATGGGTCTGAAATTGTTATTGTAGGTGCATGTCCATTGTGAGAGACATAATCTAAAATGTATTCAGAAATCACAATGTATGATTTTTTTGACTATTTATTTGTATAATACAGCTGCAAAGAAGTATTTAAACACCTGTCTATCAGCTGGAATTCTGACCCTCAAAGACCTGTTAGTCTGCCTTCAAAATGTCCAGCTCCACTCCATTTATTATACTAAATTAGATGCACCTGTTTGAGCTCGTTAGCTGCATATAGACACCTGTCTGCCACATACAATCAGTAAGAATCCAACTACTGACATGGCCAAGAACCAAGAGCTGTCAAAAGACACTAGAGACAAAATTGTAAACCTCCACAAGGCTGGAAAGGGCTACGAGGAAATTGCCAAGCAGCTTGGTGAAAAAAGGTCTACTATTGGAGCAATCATTAGAAAAATGGAAGAAGCTAAACATGACTGTCAACCTCCCTCAGACTGGGGCTCATGCAGGATCTCACCTTGTGGGGTCTCAATGATCCTAAGAAAGGTGAGAAATCAGCCCAGAACTAGATCGCTGCAAAGAAACCTATAGATATTAGGAAAACATTTAACCCTGTTTTACACATTTTAATATGTAACTCATAGATAATCGAAATACTAATCCATTCGCTCAAAAAATAATTTGTGAGCAAACTTGTTCTCATAATGCAGTTTCTTGTGCCACAGCATAATGTGTGGTGCGCACCAAATTGTAAAATATAGCACATCTCCTGTAAAAGTTAGAGGAATAGACCATAACCAGAACATGATAGACAAGTATAGTCTGAGTTTTATTTTAGGTGTTGGATAAGCTACAAAGAGACTCTAATCAGCCTGGCTTTGCAAGGCTTTCTCATTAGTGTGGCATTTAAATAGAATATTAACCGCCAGGTATGAATGATGACCAGATGTACCAATGTGTGCAAGACTGTGCAGTATAAGAACACCTGCTGCTGTGCAATTGGTGTTATCTAATTAAACAGCAAATAACTGCATCCAGTACTTGTCTCATAGTATTGTCCTAAAGGAATCCAGTTTTTAACAGAGTAGCAGATATGAACGCTCTGTGGAGAAGATGTAGGCAAAGGAGAAAAAGAAGATAAAGGACCTTCCCTTTTAGGGTAACCAGTTTTAAAAATCACAAAAAATACTAGAGCCTATTGCCTTATATGATTAAGAGCTTCAACAGAGTGACTTCTAGATATTTAACTAGAACTTAGTTTCATCAAACCTCAAGTGGTCAGAGTTTATTTCCATCTGCAGCAGCACTTTATGCACAAAGGGTCTTTTATGCTGCATCATTACACTGATCCAGCCACTGATTTTGATCAGTCTGATTCTGTTATCTTGCTCTTCTGTACTTTTAAAGTTGGTAACCTTTCTCTTAATCATTCACAGTAGCACCAATCTCTGGGTCTAAGCTGACCAGAGATTATTTCTCTTTTGTTGCTTGCTTGCGCAGGGAGCCTCAAATCGCATATTTACACATGCTGAAGGCTGATTCATTCTGTGTGAGCAGATGCTTGGTTTGTGGTCTGACGAGCGTATATAGACTCCCTTCTGTTCTGCCTTTAATCCACAAGTAATAGGCTCTAACAAGGAAGCCTATAGAATCACCCTTAAGGTTCTGGGCCTCACTGGTTACCATGGTTGAAAACAAAATCATCATTTTGACGTCTATTCTCCAGTACAAATACTCAGTAAAACCACGGACCACTGAGTAGATGTTTGCAGAATACAATTTAGTCAGTGTTCTGCTGCATCATGGATGAACTTAGAGAGCAGAAATGCACTACATGACTCTAAATGGCATTTTTAAAGATGAGTTAGAAAAAGGGAGGTAAGGCTAAACCCTAAATGTTTTTAACACCGCAAACATGCTCTTATTATGGCCACAAAAAGTAATCCGTGCACACAAATTAGTATTTAGTCAGAACAAATTCTTATTTCAGGGGCACAAATTCATTTTTCGTGCATGCAAATTAGTATTTCTTGAAAACTAATAAATATTTTGTGGGCACAAATTGGTATTTTGTGGAAACGAATAAGTAGTATTTCGTGGGAAGTATTTTGTTGGCACAAATTTGTATATTCTGGGAACAAATAAATGTTATTGGAATGAATAAGTCTTTGATTGGCAAAAATGAGTATTTAATTGGAACAAATTATTATTTGCGCACGTTACTGTATATGCAGTGGGTAGCACTGCTGCCTTGCAGTTCGATTCCTGACCCGGGGTCTTTCTGCATGGAGTTTGCATGTTCTCCCTGAGCATGCATGGGTTTTCTCCGGGTACTCCGGCTTCCAAAAACATGACCGTTAGGTTAACTGGCTTCTCTAAATTCTCCTGTTTGTCTCTGTGTTGCCCTGCGATGGACTGGTGACCTGTCCAGGGTGTACCCCGCCTCTCACCCGTAGACAGCTGGAGATAGGCACCAGCACCCCTTGCAACCCCAATTGGGATTAAGCGCGTCAGAAAATGGATGGATGGATACTTTGCTAACATTGCAAGCCGCAACCATAGACACTGATACATCAGGTGAGAGGAGTGCAGACAGAGTAGCATTCTTGGGTCAGGCCAAACTGCGGTCAGAGAGAACACAAACACATCAATTGCGACGAATGGTACTTTATATTTTCAGACACTCTGAATCAGTTTAAGTCTCAATCAATTTCCAGATAAATTGGCTGACTGAAAACATCAACATTCAATGGGCTACATGGGACCAACTGATTGATATAAATGATTTTCTAACTCAATACGTGATGTCAGTATGCAGAACTTTTGTTCCGCCTATGGGTGGACAAATAAAAGAAGACTACAAACCAGATTTTGTGGAATTACTATTTCACAAGTAGGATTTTATTAAAGATTATCCTGATGTTTTGTTTCGCAGCAAAAAATATGATACAAAACATTTGGGAAACTTATTTTAAAGATCATAACAGCCTGAAATTGCTTCACCTAAGAATAAATAATGGTAAATACCATGTGTGTCCAGCATACATACTTTTACACAGAAAATAATAGTTTTTAAAGCAGTAAAGTTTTCCGATGATTTTTAAATTTATTTATATGTGTGCAATGCATGGATTGTTACCGACATCTTGTGAACATGTTATTTCAATAGCACCTCTAGAAATATATTTACTGAGAAAAATGGTGGTGTGTTTAATACATATTTCACCCGCTATAGAAGTCAAATCCATTGTACTGAACAGTTTCCACCTAGTGCTGCCAGACAATCTGTCTGGTGAGAAGTGATGCTTATTCATTTGTTGATCCATCCATCCATCCATCTTCCTCCGCTTATTCGGGGTTGGGTCGCGGGGGCAGCAGCTTAAGAAGGGAGGCCCAGACTTCCCTCTCCCCAGCCACTTCTTCCAGCTCTTCAGGAGGAACCCCAAGGCGTTCCCAGGCCAGCCGAGAAACATAGTCTCTCCAGCGTGTCCTGGGTCTTCCCCGGGGCCTTCCCCCGGTGGGACGTGCCCAGAACACCTCACTAGGGAGGCGTCCAGGAGGCATCCTAAACAGATGCCCAAGCCACCTCAACCACCTCATTTGTTGATATTCTGATAATCTCCCTTTCTTCCATCTCGTTCAGCACTTGCTGCAGCTTCATGTAATGGTCAGGGAGCACTCACCTGTGTGGGAGCTGGAAAGGTTTGCTGTCAGAGAGGGTTATGTGGTGCACAAAGCCCTTTGTTTCCCAAAAGATCAAGATGGTGACGGGATAATAAACCATCATACTTAAAAAATTATTGTCTGGCAGCCCTCAGAAACTTCACAAAACTCAATATTGACACCACCTAGCCCAACTTATCCAAGCCTGTCTTTGGCCAAGCTGACTTCTATAGTGGGTGACATGGTGGACTGAATACAGCTAACAAGTGGAACCTCTGAGCACTCTGCCCCACACATGTTCTCTAGTGCTACAATGGGGGGTACCCACCCATCAGCTAGTTTTGTGTTGTCTCTCAAAAACACAGCTGTCAGATATATTGATGAGCTTTAGCAGGATCCATCTGTCTCCCCACAATGTAGTAACAATCTTTGCTACCAAAACATCCCTAGGTGCTGAGTGGGAAGATGTTAGCTCTGTCATGACTGTGCTGTCTGGAGAAAGTGTGTTTTAAGCAGTTTCCCCTCCATAAGAGATTCACACCCAGGCTCAAAGCAGGTAGCAGAATCACATCTTACGTTACCGATCTTATCAGGATTATCTCCAGCTTTTCAGGGTTTAAGACCAGACAGCATGGACAGGAAATTCTTAATTTCTGGATCCCCAGAAGGCCAGAGGGTAGACACTGTTTTTGAGTGAGACTTGTGTAACCGGTCTCATCTGTCTGTGTCCTAACACTCCTCAATTATGACACCGATTAACTTGCTTATGCTCTGCGTTGTGTTCTGATGAAGGAGGGACCCAGACCATAGGTATAGCCAGTTGCTCTTTAATACAGTTATCCAGCCGGATTCTGCACAGACAGAAACAAAACGCTCAGTAACATGCAGCTTCAACACATACACAGGTCAGCATCCCCTCCTCTTAGGCAGCCTAGCGCCAACTCAACGGAGCAATGCAAAACAATTCAATCAAAAAAAATTTTTTACTACCAAGAAAAATAATAAAACATTAAACATGGAAAAAAGTAACAATTCTTACAGAAAACAATAAATCTGTTATAATAATTAATTAAATCCAACATATATTATTAATGCAACCAGCTTAAACAATGATGCTAAGAACTAGATGTACATACCTGCACAGACAGAAACAAAACGCTCAGTAACATGCAGCTTCAACACATACACAGGTCAGCATCCCCTGTTTGAGAAGAGCACATGGGGAAACCCCGTAGCTGTAGCAGGAAAATACTTGCTCTGACCAATAAATACAGACACATATTGAGAAACAAATATGTCATCTGAGTGTTTTTCAGTAAAGGCAACGTTTAACAACTGCATGTAATTACATTTACATGTTTTCATAGAACATTTTTATAAAACTACAAGCAGTAAAAGTTTCCTACCTCCTCTTAGGCAGCCTAGCGCCAACTGAGCATGAAGCACCGCTGACGTCGTTACAGAGCGCTTTCTTAAAGCAACAGTACAAGTATTCATGTAAAAATTAACAAATTACAGATAACTTTTCTAATGTGACTAAAACAAAAGCTATTTCGTATTAATCAGGTTTTGGTGAAATTTCAAACACTTTATAAACAGAAAATAACAGCAAATGTTGAACAATTGTTACATTCACCCCCCGTGAAATTCACCAAAATCCTGATTTCAGCCTAAAGAGAAGTATAAACAAAAGGATCAGTCTACACCGGGCACATCCTGGCACAAATGAAAAGGCAGACCTAGTCTGCTCATGCAACATAGAAGTCACCCTCAACAGAAGGTTCGGGAAAGAAAGAGGTTGATCAAGTCTCTAAAAGTCCCTAGCTCAATGCTACGCCTGTTACGTAACAGCATCTGGCCCAAGTAAAACTCCCGCCATGTTAACTTTCATGAAATCAAAAATGGAAAATTGAACACCCTAAAAGTATAGGTTACATGGAATACATATGTCACTAAAACAAAATCTATGCTTAACTCAAAGGGATTAGCTAACATGTAAGAATTTCTAACTCTTCAAGAAAGGCCCCTGAACCATAGATTCTATTAATCTGTTAACTGATTTTACCAACCGCCCAGCACGGGTTCTAAATGGTCCATTGCTCCCGAAAGTAGCTTGCCGATTGTCTGGAAAAGCAGTTCCAGAACATGTCACATCCATGCCAGTTGGAGAATCGACACCTTCATTAAGTGATGCCGCCGGAGCTGGCAAGGTCAAACTGCCATGTTCATCACTGTCAGACTGCGACTGAGTCTGTAGCTCAGGGACACCTGACAGCACCGGTGTGGTGGAACAAGACACGTCAGTCACATCCACGTCCAATAGTGAGTCACCAGGGAACGAGAGACTCCCGTCCCCACTGTTGACGGTGCTGTACCCTAACGCATCACTGTTGACTGAGAAATCCGTTGTTCCCTCATTATCTGACCTGAGGATTGGTAAGAAACTCACATCCAGCAAAAGATTTCGGTGTACAACCTTTGTTTGTCCCTCACCATTCCGAATCTTATACACATGGATATCTGGATGCACTTCGACAACGGTGTACATGCTGTCCTCCCACCTGTCAGCCAGTTTACGCTTCCCTCGCTCTCCCTTATTTGCTACAAGAACTCTGTCACCAACTGACAAATGAGTGCCCTTTGTGCGCTTGTTGTACTGACTGGACTGGTGTTGTTGTTCAGTAAGGGAATGTTTCTGAGCAATTTCCACCGCATTCCTCAAGGAGGAAAAGAGAGTCTTGACATATGAATCGTAATTAGCAAAAGCAGGGTCATTCAGGACAGGCTTAAACAGAACGTCCACTGGCAGTCTTGGAATCCGCCCGAACATCAGGTAAAACGGTGCGTACCCGGTCGTCTCATGAACAGTTGCGTTGTAAACAAATGTAAGTGTCTGGATTTGTTCTGGCCACCTTTGCTTCTCTTTAAGAGGAAGGGTACGAAGCATCGAACCCAAGGTGCGATTAAATCGCTCCGTCACACCATTTCCCATAGGATGGTAAGCCGTGGTATGGGATTTAGCAACGCCTGCCAACTGGAGAAGTTCTGCAATCAGTTTGCTTTCAAAATTTGTGCCCTGGTCAGAATGTATACGTTCTGGGAACCCATAAACACAAAAGACATGATCCCAGAGCTTTCTAGCAACCTGCTTCGCTGTCTGGTTAGCACAGGGGAAAGCATGCGCCAGTTTGGTGAAATGGTCAGTAACCACCAAAACATCCACTGACCGTTGCTTGCCATCCTCAGCAGACCAAAAATCCAGGCAGACTAACTCCATTGGTGCAGAGCTCTGGATACTTTCCAAGGGTGCACGAGCAGCTGGTTCTGGTGTCTTTCCCAGTACACATCTCTGACAACATTTGACATATCTACGCACATCTTTTTCCATGTCTGGCCAATAGAAACGCTGCCTAGCAAGAGACAAAGTGCGGTCTTGTCCTTGGTGCCCTGCCAGATCATGGATGCCCGATAATGCTTTGTCTCGTAAACACTGGGGAAGCACAAACTGGAACCTCTTCTGCTTGGTCACAGGGTTCTTCGTCACTCGATACATTACACCATCCCGAATTTCCAGCTTATCCCATTGATTCAGCATTCTGACAACCTTTATGTCTGAACATCGCCTCTCACGCTTAGATGGTCTCGTCCTGGTGGCGGCAAAGGGTAAAACCTTAGAGATGACTGCATCGTGCTCTTGACTGGACTGCAGTTCCTGAATAGAGAGAACTGGAAATTCACCTTGCCCACATTGCATGTGTTGAGTTTGTTGTGTCAACTGCAACGCCCTCGATTCTGCTCCTGAAATCCAGTCACAGTGGGACTGACACAGGGCTTGGATCTCAGCTGAGTCATAAACAACCTTCAGTGATGGATAATCCCTTGATTTATCATGTTCTGGCTGACAGCTGAACTTGAAGGTGCTCTGCACACGATCTTCATCAACCTGGTCAGCTTCTTGTGTAAGAGACAGATATGACTCTTCCAACAACCTGTGACTGATTGGTGTTGCAAAGGGGTCACGACTGAGAGCATCTGCAACCACATTTTTTCTCCCAGCTAGGTGTTTAAGGTCAAAGGAATAAGAAGCCAGCTTTGACACCCAGCGGATTTCGCATGCATCAAGCTTTGGTTTTGTCAGGAGGTAAGTCAGGGGGTTATTATCCGTCCAGATGGTAAAGTGACGCCCCTTCAGCCAATGACTAAACTTTTCACAGACGCTCCACTTAAGAGCCATGAACTCTAATCTGTGAGCTGGATACTTCCGCTGTGATGCACTCAGAGTCTTGCTCGCAAATGCAACAGGTCGCGCTTTGGATTGTCCTCTGGGAACTTGTGATAGCACTGCTCCAAGACCATCCAAAGATGCATCAAGAGATAAGATAAATGGTTCATCAAAATCTGGGTGAGCAAGCATGACACATTCCAACAACATGGTTTTTAACTTATGGAAAGCCTGCTCACATCCCTCAGTCCAGTCATTAGGTATGAGTTTACGATAAACACCTTGTAGTTTCCTGTCCTTCGCCATGCGTCCTCTCCTTTTCTGTCCCGCTGTAAGTGCAAACAGGGGTTTAGCAATGGAGGAACAGTTTGGGATAAAATGCTGATAGTAGAACACCATACCTAGGAAAGACTTTATCCTTTTTATTGATGGTGTACGCCCATCATCTTCCATGAGGTCAGAAGGAGTCATTTTGGAGATCACCTCCACCTTGTCTGGGTCTACAGACACGCCATTGCCATCAATGACATGTCCCAAAAAACGCACCCTTCTTCTCATCAGATGGCACTTTCTGGGAGCCAGCTTAAGATTGTTCTCCCTCAGCCTCTGGAAAACCACTTGAAGTCTCAATAAGGCCTCATCCTCTGATGGAACAAATACAAGCAAGTCATCGAGGTAACACAACAATTTTGTGAAGTTCATGTCCCCAAAAATTCCAACCATCATCCGCATGAATGAGGCTGGGCTGTTGCAAAGCCCCTGTGGCATGCAATTGTATTCATACAGTCCAAGGGGAGTCGTAAAGGCTGTGTATTTTTTGTCATGTTCATGCATTGGAATGTTGAAAAACCCTGAAGTAAGGTCCATTGTGCTAAATATGCAATTCCCCCCAAGTGCAGCCAAACAGTCAGACTGGTGAGGCAAGGGATGGGCATCTTTAACCGTGCGAGCATTCAGCCACCTGAAGTCATTGCAGATACGAAGCCCCCCATCTTTCTTCCATACCATCACCAGAGGGGAGGCATAGTCACTTGAGGACTTCCTAATAATTCCCTTTTCCTCCATCTCAGTCAGAGCCAGTCTCAATTTTTCATAATGTGCAGGAGGAACTCTGCGGTACGGTAACCGGAAGGGTCTGTCGTCTGTCAGCCGTATGCGGTGGGTGTAACCATGCACTCTGCCGCAGTCCAGAGAATCCTTAGAAAAAATGTCACGATACTCCATCAGCAACTTTATGAGTTGGGACTTGCAACTTTCACTAACCTCGCAAAGGTCCAAGTCAATAGCCCCCAAACCCATATCACACAGACTTTCCAAAGAAACATCGTTACTGTTTGTAGCCGACAGCTGTCGTAGCTGTTGCTGAGAATACTTCTGCTGATCCTCTACAGCCATGTGCAGACCCTGGAAAACATCAAAGTCCTCAACTGCTAAACATGGAGAGACATCAGCTAACTTGCTGTTCTTTTTCAACACCAATGGCTTGTCAGAAGGGTTCACTACTGTCAAAGGCACCCATCTATCACCCCACAATGGTGTGATGAGCCGACCCACTAGAGCACCCCGTGGGGCAGCTCTTGAGCTGGTAGGTTCGACAAGGACAGTGCTCCCGGGGGACATGGGAACTTTGGCAGGAAGCTTACCCCAGATTAAATGCTCATGTCTGGGTAAGAGGGTGACTGCCTGGGTTAACTTGACAGTGCCAATTTTGTCTGGAACTTCTTCACCCCTCCAGTGTTCAACATTTGTAAACATTGACAAAAACTGCCCGATTTCAGGGTCAGAGTAATTTTTCAATGCATTTCCCCTGTATTTCTCATCCTGTTTCAAAACATGCATGATGTGTTTAATAACATTCGAGCCCAAAATCAGATCATCATGCTGACCAGGCACAACCAACGTGGGTACACTACAAGAGATGCCAAATACTTCCATCTCCAGCTGAAAAAATCCATCAGGCTTAGTTTGCAGTCCACCACACCCCACAAGAATAATGCTTTCTTGAGGGTGCTGCTTTTCTGGCAAGATCCCAGCAGAACTCAGTTTTTCCACCGCTTGGTCACTAATACTGCATGCCATGGAGCCAGAGTCCAGCATGCCTTTGAGCTGCACGCTGTGGTTAATGAGGACAGGGGAATAAAACAGTTCACTGAAAGCTTGAAGCTTCTGTGCTGCTTGAATGACCACTCTTGAACCCTTTGGTGCCTTGGCACAGGTATCCTCAAAAAGGTCTGCCAAATCACAGATGTTGGAGAGAGATTCATTTTCACAACCCACACCGCCTCTCCCCAGGTATGGGTTTCCTAGTTTAACTGTTGGTCTGCATCCGCAGACCTGTTGTCAGACCGAAGCACATGTGCAGATTGCTGAGGGCAATTTCGCTTCCAGTGACCAGAGGAAAGACACCTTAAACAGAGGTTTTCACGCTTACAGTGACTCAAGGTTGAATGGTCATGAGAACCACAAGCCCTGCAAGCCCTCGGTAAGGGCTGAGAAGCTGCACCCCTGGCCGCTTGATTTCGAGGGTCATTGCCATGTTGTAGCACTAACCTGTCCAATAAGCTCACCAAGCTCCGCAAACAGTCATTATCTACCCCAGTAGTCAGTGGTGTAGCTGGTGTAGGTATCCCACACTGAGCAGTCCGTCCTGAAGTTTCTGAAACAGAAGGACTGTCAGTCTTATGTGCATGACAATGAGAATAACCTTTAACCACTCTCGGAATTTCTTTGGGCTGCTGAGTGTGCATAGTACTCTGAGATTTCCTTTCCATCATGTGTTCATCTAACCTTTCCTGAATCTCGCTTGCTGTCCACTTCTCTGCAGACTTAAACTTGAAGACACTCGCAAGAGCTCTGTCAGGACAATGTTTAATAAACATCATGCTCACTTCATGCTGTGGGTCATCAATCCCTCGACCCTGCCTCTTTAAGCATTCATCTGCCACATCCATCATTCTATTTAATCTTATCCAGTATTCCATTGCATCCTCCCTAGGCATTGGCAGCGTATTATAGAAATCAGCTAGAGGCATGTTGGAGTAAGTGAGTTCACTAAAGTGCTGTTTCAAGATGTCAAAGACTAAGTTAGGACATGTGACATGATTGATAGATTTGTTGTTGCGGAGTGTAATTCTCACAACATCACCTGCTTTGCCCATCAGCCTCGCCATAATCTCTTGGGATTGTTCATGGACAGGAACAGCTCTCCTTTTTAAGTACATAGACATGAGACTCTCCCATTCATGTACTGTGAACTTATCTGAGCCATCACCTCGAAATATTGGGGGCTCCTTAGCATCAGAGTGCATAACAAGACTAACATTGGGAGAAGACACCTGATACGTCAGGTCAGAAGCCCCCGCACCTTGTGCATGCTCACCAGGTGAGAGTTGAGCTCTAATAGAGTCACCCAGTTTTTCAGCTAGCTGGGTAATAAGCGAACCCAAATCTGGTGTAACCTGCCCAGCCTGACCCGGCATATGTTGGTCTGAAAAACGAGTCGAAGCTAATTGTGGGGTGTTCAAAATTGTAGATCCACGCCCTGGTGCTCTTGATTCTAATGATTTGTAAAGTAACCCTCTCCCCAAACCAAATTCGTATGGACGAGCTGCAAGATCGCTATCCTCCCCATCAAAAATGTCAGAATCAGCCATAACCCCAAAATGCACACACACTGTTATGAGAGATTAATTCAAATAAAGTAAATAAGAAGTAACACATAAACAAAATTGCTAAATAGCAGTGGATGTCTAAACACACTGAAAAAAAAAAAAATCTCCCACCAAAAAGGAAGTTCTGATATAATGAAGTGTGCAGTCACTTTCTGGTATTGGATAATAAACAGACCAAAAGGTGCAGTTTCTCCTTCTTAAGAGAGTAGGGAAAATGTCCAAAATGAGTTTGTCAAAAACACAAGAGAAAAAAAATCAAAAATGAGATTTACTTGTAGCTTCCCACGGCGGACGAGATGACGTCGTTCCTCAACAGATCCAAAAAAAAAGTCACGGCACCATTGTAACCGGTCTCATCTGTCTGTGTCCTAACACTCCTCAATTATGACACCGATTAACTTGCTTATGCTCTGCGTTGTGTTCTGATGAAGGAGGGACCCAGACCATAGGTATAGCCAGTTGCTCTTTAATACAGTTATCCAGCCGGATTCTGCACAGACAGAAACAAAACGCTCAGTAACATGCAGCTTCAACACATACACAGGTCAGCATCCCCTGTTTGAGAAGAGCACATGGGGAAACCCCGTAGCTGTAGCAGGAAAATACTTGCTCTGACCAATAAATACAGACACATATTGAGAAACAAATATGTCATCTGAGTGTTTTTCAGTAAAGGCAACGTTTAACAACTGCATGTAATTACATTTACATGTTTTCATAGAACATTTTTATAAAACTACAAGCAGTAAAAGTTTCCTACCTTCTCTCAGGCAGCCTAGCGCCAACTGAGCATGAAGCACCGCTGACGTCGTTACAGAGCGCTTTCTTAAAGCAACAGTACAAGTATTCATGTAAAAATTAACAAATTACAGATAACTTTTCTAATGTGACTAAAACAAAAGCTATTTCGTATTAATCAGGTTTTGGTGAAATTTCAAACACTTTATAAACAGAAAATAACAGCAAATGTTGAACAATTGTTACACTTGCATAACTTGGACTGATGTAAGATGTATTTTATCAAAAGAGCATGAATTCTGAATTCATCATTTTTTAAATTAGTATATTGATGTGTATAATTAACCACAAAAATGTTTATGTTTTGAATATTCCACTTGAGAGTTTTTCTGCTGAAATTTACTACAATTTTCTTGCCCTATCTGTGACTGTGCCCTGACAGACTGTGGAAGAACCACAGTGCTTTGTACTATAAACTTTCAGAAAACTGTAAAAGTGCGGAAAGCCTGAGTTCCTTTAAATCAGTGGTTCTCAAACTTTTTCTGTCATTCCCCACTTTGGACAAGGGGGAATTTTCAAGCCCCGCCTGTCCCCATCGCCCCAACACAATGCTAATGAAATATGCAACAATCTTAAAATTTTCCAATTTTATTGAAGTAACAAGTAGTATCTAAATACAAACTATCTACATCAAATAACAGCAAGCTCAAAAATAAAGAAAATAAAAATGCAGCTGTGTCAAAATTTGTATCAAGCTCAAAGATAGAAAAAATTAAAGTGCCACTCTGCAATCTGTTAATAAAAGAAAAGAAGTGAAATCCATCTGGCAATACAGCTCTATTTATCCCTGCATTAGTGGCTGCAATGAGCCTGTTTTGCATTGCACAGTTTCTCAAAACGGGGTTGCAGGCTTGATACTGCCACTCTCAAGTCATGCTCAATGTTCAGCTGAGATCTGTATTTTGTTTTCAGTGAAGCAACAGTTGAAAAGCCCATCTCACAGAGATATGATGTGGCAAAGGGAAGAAGAATGCACACAGCTCTCTGCCCGATGAGTGGATACTCCCTCTCCACTCCAAACCAGAATTCACTATTAGTCTGAGCATTAAACCTGAGCCTCAGGGTGGAGTCAGACGTCATTTCAATAAACTGGTCCTATTTATTTAAGATAAAATATTTCAAATTCAGTTATTTATGATCAACCTGCGCCGTCAATCCCGGCGCATGTGCGCTTTATTTGCAGTCTGGACGCTGAGGGTAAACATGCTGTGTCTCTGCAGCACTGAGAGGGACTTCTGCGATAGCGGGGGAGAACGGGGTTGGGACGGAGGCGCCCCACGGCAGCACCTGCCGCTGGAGGACAAGAAAAGGAACGATACGTGCTTTCACGTAAGAGTCTCCAAAAGTCGCTAATTTGTCGCTAGTCCCTTTTTTAAAAAGAGTCGCTGGAGGGGTCTAAAATATAGCGACAAAGTCGCTGAGTTGGCAACACTGGGGCGCGAAAGTTTATTCCGTTACAAATAATATGCCGACGTCACGTCAATCATTATTTTGGCACTTCAGTTCCAGGTGAAATTTTTCTCATATCTAATGTTCTTTTAATTAGACTGCATGTAGGCTATTAATGATTACTTTGTGGGTTTGATTGGTCTAAAAAGCGGCAACATACAGCTTTAAGGACAGTTTGCTCTCACACATTCTATATTTATAGTCTCACACACACACACACACACACACACACCGGAACTTGGCGCGCCCCACCTGTCACGTCTCAATTCCCCACCAGTGGGTCGCGCCACACACTTTGAGAACCGCGGCTTTAAATCAAGACTAAAAACACATTTGTTCAGGATTGCTTTCGACTGTTCTAGTTAAACAGTTCAACTGAAACATCATTAGTTCAACTTTTTTTTATTTTCTTTAGTCCAACTGTTTTTAATCTTCTTTCTTTTTCTGCATTTTTTTTCTTTTTTTTTTCTCCGTACTTGCTTTATTTTCCTATATTTTAATCATGTAAAGCACTTTGCATTGTCTTTGTACTGAATTGTGCTATTATTGGGTAAGGGTGGCCATGGCCCCCCCATCCAGCTCCGCCCCTACATTGGACCCCTTTTTTTCCAGCTGGTAACGCATCAGGTCCCCGCATCTGGATTTTACGCATCTGTCGCCCCCCGCCTCCACAGACCTGCCTACTCTGCGCCCCCCGCCCCTTCAGCCCAAACGCTCCAGTCTCGCGCTGATTGTCTGGAGAACCGACGCTTCCTCCCTAACCATCTAATATTCCGTTTTTCAGCTTGGTTTTCCAATGGCCGCCCGGGGCGTGCTTTGCGACCAGCAGCTAAATAGTTAAGGCGTTTTTTGCCGGATGCACCCACACTCCAGCAGACCGCTACAGCACGAAGATGGCGTCGGAGGGAGCGAGCGGAGAGCAGCCTCCCCCGGTTCAAACACTGGTCGCTGCGGCGCCGGGAGGTGTCGACACGGTAAGCCGCCGGGATGGAGGAGCTCTATCTTTGTATATAAAAATGTGTAATGTCAGCGTGGCTGTCACTGGAGCGCAGGGAATGAAACGCGCTGCGCATCTATGTCTCTAAAAGGCTCTGGAAGCAACAGCGGCGCGAGGCGCTCTGATCTATTAGGCACGAGCCCCGTTTCCATGAGGCACATTTATTCTTAGCATGTTTGCTTTTATTCTTCTTCTTTCGTGTGTGTGTCGTTCATTGTAATAGTTTAGTGGTTTCTCGCGGCCTCTCAGCGTTCCTGTTTTCCCCATGAAAGGAAAAAGTGGCGCTGGATACGCAGGTTGTGACTCATTCTAGTAGGAGCTACACAGGAATACACACACATCTCATTCCTCCTGAAGGGGCTTGTTTTCTATACTGGTAGAAAAACATAAATCATTTTTTTCCTAATCCAAAGGGATTTCAGTTTATTTGATGCGCATCACTGAAACAAAGTTATCAGGCTACTGTCCAGTTATTTCTTTATTATTCAGAACAGAAGTTTTCACCCTTAGAAAATCACACCATGCTCAGATATCTATACCTTTGGTTATTTGATCCACATCAAACCTCTCCTATTTATAGCACTGATTGCAATGCAAAACCTCTGTTTACATTTTCTGCAATCCATTAAAGGCATAAGAGGGAGAGAAACTCACTATTATCAGTTCAATCTGGAAAAATCACAAGAAAAATAAATTGATACAATTACTTTGTCTTTGGCGCTCAGACCTCGGCAGGAAACATAGGGTTGAATTTTGATGGATATGCATGAACAGGAGCAAAGAATAGGGCTGTTTCCCCCCCAGGCCTGAAAATGGTGGTGGAGTGGAGATAGATGAAGTTGGTCAGTCTGTAGATTGCTGGTTAGCGAGACGGTATGCTGAGATCCAGCTTCAGAAGATGGAAGTCCAGTTTGGATAACACAGGTTGAGAGAACCCGTCCATGATTAGCAAGCATGAAGCGACAGTGGAGAGGAAAAACTTCCCCTTGGGAAGAAACCTCTTGCAGAACCTTCTGCCGGACCCAATAAGATGAGACAAGGAACACAGTAAGAGTCTAGGAGGAATGAGACTCTGATGAAGCTTTAGCTACGATGGTGGAGGAGGGGCTGGAGGTGGGTCAAAACATTGTCATCTGAATGAAGTCACACAGCACAACCACCGCCTGTGCACAGGAGCAGACAAGTTGCAGATCGGAGGCTTTTTAAGATGAACTTTGGATGCCGATTGGCTTTCGTGGAGGCGTGTGTCGCAGGTGGATATAGGAGAGCAATGAGTTTCTTTAGTTTAACTTCCGCCTAGGCTCCATTTTGTATTACTATCAGCACCATATCTGTAGTTTGATGTAAAGTTTATAAGGCTGCATTTAAATATAGCTCTACTCTTATCTGACATCTTCATTAATTAATCATGTTTTTAATGATTGATCTGAGGCTGAATGATGTTTGTTATTGACTTCTGCTTCCACTAGTTGAAACCAGTCAGGCTTTTTCCTTGCAGCCATGTCTGCTGTTGGAAAGGACTGCAGGGAAGGTTGTGTGCCTTTCCTTTTATATAAAACATTTTAATGGCAAGTCTAAGGCTGGATTCAGAAAAGATCTTTAATCCCCAAGGCAACTTTGGGGAATGTTTACTTGTGATTTAGTGATATTTTTCACATGATTTCATTCAAATCCCGCTTAAAGCTGTTTTACTTGTAAATTGTGTGACTGCAGCGTCATGATAGAAGAGCGGCAAGTAGATTTTAGGGAAAAAAAGACTGAA